GAAAAGAATCGGTGCCGTTTTAACCCCCGGTTTGGGTTTTTTGTGTTTTTTGCAAAAAGCAAAAAAAAAAAAAAAAAAAAAAAAAAAAAAAAAAATGCATGCTGTGATCTGGATTCCCCAGTCTGGTTTTGTTTTGGTGTTGCAGAAGTTCATTTGGTTTGAACTATACACAGCATAGTCGAACGAAAGTGGTCTATTTTCTGTTTACAGTGGTGCAGGATAAAATTGTGTGTGGCTTGAGTTCTTGGCAGCATGTACAGTATATTGTTAAAGAAACAAATCAAGAAAGTAGGCTTTTATTGTGTGTGAGAAAAATTCATTGAAATGAGCAAGTGAGAAGATACATAAAAGATGACTAAAAATGTCCTTCCAGCTTGTTTTCGTTGCGTTTGATGCACGTAATGCAAAGCTGTTGATTTTATCATTTAATTTTAACCACAAACACATTTCCTGCTAAATGAAGCATTCCACAGAGAAATATTCAAATTGTGCATGAAAGCAGAATCGTGCAGGAGTCCACGCAAAAGCCTCTCGTTCCACTTGTGTTGTGTCTGCCAATGAAACTCCTACACCTGTTGTACATTTTTAAAGGCCCTGTGGTTAGTATGAGGACATATTGTGCTACCTGTTCTCTCTGGCTAGGAGAACAAGAGAAAACTCACTGTACACTGAAATGTGCAGAGCATCAGTCACAAAGGAGAACCTGTGCTTGCAGAAAAAAAAGAAGTGTGGACACACTCTTATCTCAGGTGTGAATTACTTTTTTTTTTTTTTTTTTTTTTTTTCAAAATCGTGCTGTGCTAACAGTTTCAGTGTTAGCATTTGATATATAATAGCACTTCCATAAAGGTTCCAAAAGTTCTCACAAACTTACGTTAAATACAGATTATCTCAGGTAGCTGTAAAATGCTAGGTAAATAGGACATTGAACCCAGTTTGATTACCTGGAATGAGAGGACAAAGTCTCACAAGCCGAAGTTTCACAGAACAGAGGATGATAAATGCTGACACACTGAATGACTTACTGGCAGAAACATGACGTTAGTTCAGCAATTTCCCTTATTATGTTGTACTGTATATAGCCTACAGCTATTCGCTTAATTCATACAACAGTTGTGTTGCAAAAGGCATGTTTATTGATGCACGTGTCTCTGAGTCCTCAATTTCTTTAACTGTGTTGGAGGAGGATTTCTGACAACCCCCTCAATCAGAAACCTTGTGTTTGTCCTTTAAAACCTGGTGGAAGATGCACATCCAAGTTGGCGTCTAAGAGAAACAGATTATAGTGAAGAATGCATTGAGTTTTTGTACTGATATAGTGAAAAGAAATAGCACATATTTTTGAAAACATGAGTTTTTAAAGGAGTCTTCTACAACAAAAAATTATTTGTATTTGTATTACGTATTAAGTTCTTTATAGCAGATGCACCATATTATGGAGGTTATGAGTTCCCCCTATGCATCCATAGAGGTCTGATTCCTTTGTGGCATGTTTTCCTCCTTCTTTTTAAATACTACCAAAAACACCTAAAGTATCAATTGTGATACAAAAAAGGAAGACATTCATTATATATATGTATATATATATATTATATTAACGTTTTAGTTGTTTGTTCCATTTAAAAGGTCCATCAAATGCTTTTAGAAGTTCCCCATTTCTGTTATTTCTTGTGTCAGGCTTTAAAGGAGTAAACAAAAATAAATTGTGTTTTCCTTTTTTTTTTCCTTGTAACAAAAGATTAACAAGGTTTTCCAGATAAGCTTTCTCATGGATAAAGGAGCTCTTGTTCAGGTCCTAGCTGAATTGCAACACCCATATCACATTAAATGTCACATGCGTCACTGGTTTAGATATTAGTAAATGCAGCAAATGCATTACAAACCTAATATATTTACACCAAACAGTGAGTAATTAAGGACAGAGCTATAGTGTGCAACATTTATTAGCCAGTAGAGCAGAACTGTTCAAGAAATTTCTGGTTTCATATTTCAGTGGAGTAGAAATAGATTGGCGGTAGAGCTCAAACACAGCTGAGGTTTCATGCAAATACTTGACATGCTGCAACAAGCTGAACAGCTATGAGCTATATCCATCCTCCTGTCAGTAGCTTACTGTAGTAATGGCCATGCAACTATCTCCAGATGTTGCTGCGCTTGTAAAAAAAAAATAAATAAATATCTCCTCCTCCTCACTACTGCTACATTTCTTTGAGTAAACCGTGCAAACAATAAAAGCGTCTATTCTCTCCTTCTTTAAAGGCTGAGTCAGATTTGGTTCCACCTTAAAAGCTGCAAGAAGCCAGATTGTGTTTCTTCTCACAAGCCCGCCCCCTTCTTTGCTCAGTGGAAAGTGTGTCAGTGGAGCAATTCCTGCTCTCTGGTCCTGACTGTGCCACTCAGCTGACTGGCAGGTGAGGCGGCGAGTCTCAGGAACAAAGCTCTCGCTCGCCGGCCAATTGGAGCGCGGCAAGACGAGGGAGGGTTGTGGCACTGTTGCCAGGACAACCACCTTTGAATGAGTGTGTTCACGGAATGCACCAGATGGGAGTTATATAACAGACTGTAGAGGGTGGGTGGGGGAGAGCCTCTGAGGGAGGAGGAGGGACAAAAGGGAGCAATGGAGAAAGGGATTTTTTTTTTTTCCATGGGCCTTTATTTATTTATATCGCTCAGTTGCATTTCGGTTGCAAGGACTTCTAGCAAATGAAGATTCTTCAAGCTGGAAACGGCTCTTCAAAAGACAGACAAGTTATGTTAGAAATGAAATGTGAACAGTCCCCTAAGTCGGAGTTTTCAGAACAATGTCAGTCACTGACATCTTCTGCTCTCCCTCTGTCCATGACGCACATCTTTCCCCACACGGAGTGACTCGTGATTGGGTAGTTGTATTTTATAAAAGGGCATTCATAGAAAAAGCAATTTTCTGAAGAGCTGTGAAGACCAGTTAAATCCTATTTTGTGATTTAGCGGGTTACCTAATACGCTGTGTGACCCAGCAAAGGGTTTTAGTGTTGGTTTGGCACACACTGCACTTCTGGATGTATGAGATCTTGCAAAACATGGTAGCAATCAAAGGTCCAGGCATCCACCCTGCAGCCAGTTGCTTTTTGAAGTAAAAATTCTAAAACAACCCCACAAAACTATCAATAAAAATCATAACCAATGAAAAATCAGTTCACATGACTAGGAAATTACACTGCCTTTTGGTTCTTTGTATTTGATTCAGATAACGTGTGTGCGTGTGCATGCGTGTGTGTGTATGTATGTGTATAAAGTTTGTATCTAAAAGGTACAGTTACAAATATAACAATAACACAATAATTGCTCTGCGTGGGATTTTGGAACCATTGTAGATTTTATTGGAGCGACACTATTAATAGTTTGGAGTTTTGTGTCCCACATGTTGGCAGTTATTTCTGGGTTACATAACTGAAGGGCTAAATGGGGGCTTTGTTTTTGAATAATTGCGCTCAGAGCTAAACTAAGTGTATGACTGAAATAAAACTGAATCTCATTCTTGGTGGGTGGCTTCATGTGAAACTAATGTTCACGTCAAAATAAGTTTTTTTATTATTTATTTATTTTTTAATTAAGGACTTGACCAAGTTGTCTGATGAACAGAGTAAGAAATCTAATTAAAATTTGTTTCGATGTAGATATGGTTTAGTTGTGTAGTTATGTCTCCAAGGAGAAGATACCAGGAAGAGGAGAGAAGATAGTGTGAAATGAAAACCACCATTTGGTTGTCTATCTTTAATTAATTTACTAAACTAAGAGTTAAAGTATTTATAATTTCCCTATTTCCTGGCCTAAAATTGGTGCAACCTTTGTATTTCTTACGATTTCAAGATCCTGCCAGCAACTCATCTAAGCGTCATAAACTCAAAAGGACTCCACTTGGCATCACTCTTTGTTAACCTGCGAACATGTTAGCTCGCCCTGAAGGAGGAGAGGCGGCGTGCAAAGGAGGGAGAGAGAGCGCGCGATGTGAAACTTTATAACCCCCGGCTTCGGCTAATGCAATTGACCTGCTATTCTGGGGTTGAGGAGGCCCAGCTACTGAGATAAACAACATAATGAAAAGAACAGGCTGTTCTTGAGTAAGAAGGATCAGGCTCCCATAATGAACACAACATGTATAATGTATACTTATTTGCCATGTGTGTTCATAACACTCCTCTGGTTTCTTTATGATCCTTCCGCACAGCGTCAGTTCTGTCTCATTATTAGGAAGTACATGTCAAACACTATTGCAAATGATAGATAACATTTGACCTGAAATGGATCGTTTTTTTGTTTGTTTGTTTCTTGGAAGATTCAGGTTGTTCCAAGTGCAGCTAATGCAAGGTGGTGGAGGGCTTGTTTGAATTAAAAATCAACACGGCTGTCCAAAGCAAATATTGATTCGGTGTAATCTGCCAACTTCATTTGATATGGCTGAATGGACCTATTGACAAATACTGAAGGCAGCCCTTAAAAGAAAATGTCATATTCATCTATAACTCAGTGTTTCAGTGTAAACCTTGTCTGTTTATGTAGTGACACGTTCTGCAAAATATGTTGATTTTTATCTGTGCTTCAAACACTTTCAAGAGATTTTAGTTGGAGCATGAAAACAAATAATTATTAATTCATTTGATTTTTAAGTAGATTTAATATTCTACTTTTTTTTTTTATTAATGTAAGTATTTGTGTTCAGGAATTTTAAAAAGTAGAAAAAGTCCAACAAATATGAGCATTGGAAAGTTTCCTTAATAAAATCTCAGTTTATTACATAATGACCTGTGTTTTTATCATGTCTCTTCAGCTCAAATAGAAGTCATTCCCTGTAAAATCTGTGGGGATAAATCATCAGGCATCCACTATGGTGTTATCACCTGTGAGGGCTGCAAGGTGAGTTTATAAGCAATTTCATTAGGTATATTTCTGTAAAGAACAGAAGAAGAAAAACATCATTGTAACATTTATTTGGTACCTTATTTTGTTTTTGCAATTGTTATTTTTGCAGGGTTTCTTTCGACGCAGTCAGCAAAACAACGCTATGTACTCCTGCTCAAGACAAAGGAACTGCCTGATTGACCGGACCAACCGTAACCGTTGTCAGCACTGCAGGCTGCAGAAGTGTCTCGCTCTTGGAATGAGCCGTGACGGTGAGCTTACTCCCTCAATTTATATTTAATTAACTCAAAGTTTCCACTGGCCCCACTTTGGGGTCTTTTTTTTTTTTTTTTTTTAATCACCGTGACTGCATGCTGTCCTTTTATGGACTACTGTTTGAGTTAAGAAGTTTTATCTCTGTGCTTTCCGGCTGCAGCAGTGAAATTTGGCCGCATGTCCAAAAAGCAGCGTGACAGCCTGTACGCAGAGGTCCAGAAGCACCAGCAGTCACAGGAGTGCGCTGGAGTCGTCTCCCGCGAGGAGAATGGAGACCTGGCAGAGCACGGCCGCACCTACAGAAGAGGCTCCAGCGCTACGCTCAGCGACCTGGATGACATCACGACCCTGCCAGAGGGCCTCTTTTTTGACCTGCCCCTCACCCCGGAGGACACAGGCGGCGATTACTGCAGCCTGGAAATGCTGGGAGGAAGCGCAGGGAGCAGCTCGTCCTCTCAGAGCTCGCCAGAGCAGACCAGCTTGGACTTTGTTGATGGCAACCACAGCATCAAACACGAGTACCAGCTGTTGCATGATTCTGGACTCTTCTCTCATGCCATCCTCAACCCTCTGCCAGACGGCTGCTCCCTCCTGGAAATAGGTCAGTAGTAGTAACCCCATTTGTGCTGCTTACAATGTGGATACATCCTTAAAAGTAAGACTGCATATTAGAACGTCTTGCAGTGGCGATAATATTGGTAAATATTGCAATGACAATATTAGGTGCGATACATGCCCACTTTCTTCTTTCCTAACTATATCAACTCTTAAGCAATAACAGAGCAACTGTTGTTTTGTACTGAAAAGGTTACAAGTCTTAAAGAAATCTCTGCGGATGAATGAATAAGTGCCGTTTTCTTCCATTCAGAGCGTATAATCCAGAGTGTAGTGAAGTCCCATGTTGAGACAAGCCAGTACAGCACAGAGGAGCTGAAGAGGATGGCATGGAACATCTATAATCCAGAAGAGACTCGTTCGTACCAGACCAAAGTAAGTGTGAGGCTCACTATTGTTGATCATTGTCTACAAACAGATTAAAATAGAGCCCGTTTTGCACTGCATGGAATAAAAGAGTGAAATTTAGAGAAACAAAACATAAAATAAATAGATGTCTGCATTTGGGAAGATTTGATTGTCAGATCTAAGTCATTGGTTGTCCTTAACTTCAGGTTATTTTTGTTTTTAACAATATACATAAATCAAGTGTTCACCGACTGAGTAACAATCATAATTCAAATCATATCACATGTCTCCTGAAATCATTCTAGTTTTGTAAGTGAATGCCACACGGTGAAATACTATGTTTAATTGGTTATGCTTTTGCTCAGGCTATTTAATTGAACATGAGCTAGACTCAAAAGGACACAATGAAACACAACCTGTTCTTCACGAGCTGCTGTCCTCAAATAAACCCTCTGCATGCCTCTTTTTTCCCCTCTTTCAGTCAGCCGAAGTGATGTGGCAACAGTGCACGGTTCACATCACCAACGCAATTCAGTATGTGGTGGAGTTTGCCAAGCGCATCTCTGGCTTCATGGACCTCTGTCAGAATGATCAGATTATTCTACTTAAAGCAGGTCAGTGCATAATGCGAGTTAACTTCACTCCAGGCTAAAATCACACCCCGTCTTTTAGTTGCGACAACAATAGTTGTTGTCACACTAGTCTAAGAAGGGTGGACCTCCACACAGATTAACAGCTGCACATGCTTAAGAAGCTGCATAGTTTCTAATTCTCCAAAGAACATCCAGCTTTGTTTTCATCACAGTTTCTTCAGTAATTATGCGTAACTAGGCAAAGGGCTGGGATGAGATTCACAGGGTTTGAAAATACATGTGATAGAATATTCAATATTGCATATATATAATATTCACTCTCACATTCTGGGAGATGTAGGAAGAGGAAAGGTTTTAGCTCCTCAACTTCTCACGGCGACCTGAGCAAAGCAGGTGACATCAACTAACTCACTTACTCTTTGGTTACCTAGCAACAACTTGTTGAGTCGCAGCTGCAGTTTCATATTTTGCCATAACTGCAGAAAAATTAGCTCTTTATTCAAAGTTATGAAAACTTTGCCTAAGTTGATGTGACTGATAAGAAACGCTTATCTTGTGATAAGTTTTTCAGCCATATTATCCGGCTGTAATATGATCAGACTTGTTATTTTGAATATAATACATAAACTGTAATATGTGATAGCATATTTCAGATTTTGGTTTGACATAAAACAACACAGGAATACCAAGCTGAAACAATAGATAAGTTGTTGGGCCATTTGGCTGCTCTCCACACATGCCTCTCTTTTCACACCGGTTGCAGTAATAAATAGCACCACCTTTGTAAAATCCTGCTTCTGAAAGTAACTTTGTCCATGGGAACCTTTTATAGGTAGCACATTTTCACTTACCCACCCTGTTGGATGGAGTTTTCTAGCTGGAAGCAAAAATGATTTTTAAATTATGTCACTTTAAAATGCTTTGCGACTTTAAAGGTAATGTGTTTTAAATCACCGAAGTATGGTTACAGTTGCCAGTAGAGAAAGAGGGGGTAAATCCTTCGCACATATAGATATTTTAATACTATTTATGTTCTTGGGCATAAAAAAAAAACACAACTCTTTTGGAGACACTGCTGCTTATAATTATGGATTGTGTTCCTTTGTGACACATCACTTGGACTATTTTTAATGATGGTGATGTTACAAACTTCCTGTTACTTTCAAGTAATGCTGGTTTCAAAATATTAATCATATGACAAGTTCATAAGTTTCTTCCTTGAGAGCTGGGTTTCAGTGTTGTCTCCCTTCACCTCTTGCGTAAAGTGATACAACACAAAAGTTTCTTACATTTACACCAAATACTTTAGCAGACTCTACCTAATTTATAGTATGTAGTTGCTGTGGCAAATTCATTGGTTCGAATTTTTTCTTTGGAAATTTAAACTGTTTTCATTTTACCGAGCAAGTCCTCGAACAACGCTGCTGCAGTGGGAGCCATTAACTGCTCAGCGTCTGGCCCTGTTTGGCCTTCACAGTGGAAACAGTCACTAAAATACAGTCAGGATAAATAAGAGTTGTCAGGATATATAAGAGTTCCAAGAAAAAATGTTTCAGGTTTCATAATAGAAATGTGCCTTAAGAGAGATGGATGTCAGTCCTTTGACTTTCACACCATAGCAGCTTGTGTTTGTTGTGACCAAACACACTTTCAATGGCTGAATTTGTCTTTCGTTTTCCATGAGGAAAGTAGCATAGTTGTATTTCAACCAGCTGACTGGCAGGAAGCAGCAGTAAATAGGAAAGCTGCAGCACTTTGTTACTTTACGCTCCTCACAGCCAGAGAAAAACGTAGGTCACGCCAGCACTTCCTGTAGTATTTCTTTAAAAGGACTAGAAGCCAGCAAAACAACACAGGGAAATATTTTAGCGATTTTAAATCTGCAGTTTTTATACTTGGATTTCAGTAACCTGCCCACACTTAATTACACTGTTAACAATTTGAGCACATAAATCACATGGTGAAGTCTGTCTTTTTGTTTTGAACTTTACTCTTTGAAGCATGAGATGTACTTTATTATATACTTTGACACCTTCCTCTATTGCTTTATATGGCACACATCAATTAAGTGTGCCACACCTCAAGAAGAAACTGGAATGTGGACTGACGAGAGGTTTTTAAATAAGTTGTATTTTAGCCTCCGCCACCCAAGAACTTGTCTTTAAGCCAGCTTTGCTTTGAAACTCAGACCCAAAAACCAATTTAATTTTCACTTTAAGTGCATTTCACAATTGGGTGTTACCATTAAACTTGCCCAAAGCAGCAGGAAATGTTTTTATAACTGAAAAAAGGGAATTAAGGTGTGAATAAACAAATAGAAACTTGTACTACTACAAAATAGCACTCCCAGAAAATACTGAGAACTACTTAGCCATATAAGTATGTAAATTTAAATCAAAATGAAATTAAGAAGAGCACAGTATCTAGAACAGTTAACAAAAGACATGATTTGGTGTGTTTGGTTTGGCTACATGGTAAAGTTCAGATGCAGATATTTTAGTATCACATTTAGAGTGCAGATTGCATAATGGTGCTCTCAGTTTGAACATGGAGTCAATTAGGAAACCAGTAGTTTTCAAATGAGAGTGATATATTAACTGCTTAAAACCTTTTAAAAGAAACTCACTTTAAAAATGACGAGCCATTACTTTAATGACAGTGTTATGTAATTAATTGCTATCATTAAACACAGAACAAAACTAATGTGAAAGCTCTACGTAGCATCCAGAGCCTGGTAAAGTCTTGTACTAAACAGTTGCGTCCTGTTAAAGTTTTTATTGCATTATCGTTTGTCTTATTATCTTTAACTGTGCTGTAGTTCTTATCCTTCAAGTGGCCTTGTAGATTTAAAACAGAACGTGTTGGACGAGCTTCTGAATGTTTTGAGGACCAATCCCCCGCTGAATTTTAATGAGACACGAAGCCCTGACTCCAAGCGTTGAGGGAGCCTTTTCTAAGCCCTAGAAATGCCCTGGGACACACTTCCTCATTCAGCTTTTGCTCAATATAGCATCTGCTAGACCTGCCGTATGTGTTTATTAGGCTCTTATCACGAAAAGGGCTTTTAGTTTCTACGATCATGCCTAGGAAACAAAAGATCAATGCAGTTTTTAAAAAACAATATGTGTTCTTTATCTTTCTTTCAACAGGGTGCATGGATGTCCTTCTGATCCGTATGTGCCGAGCCTACAACCCCATCAATAATACACTGCTTTTTGATGGGAAGTTTGCGAGTGCTCAGCTTTTTAAAGCTCTTGGTGAGTCAGCGCAATGGGCCTCTTCCTCTTTCTCTGTCTTTCTATCACATAAACATTATGAAAGGATGGGCAGGTGATTTGAGGTCATTTTTTCCCCCCCATCTTTTTAACTGTCACAACAATTATAGTCAAACATTGTTTTGCTTCTCTTCCCTCTTTAGGCTGTGATGACCTTGTGAATGCTGTGTTTGACTTAGCAAAAACTCTGAGTCGTATACAGATGTCAGAGGACGAGATGGCTCTGTTCAGTGCTGCGGTCCTTCTGTCACCAGGTTAGATTACTGCACCTTACTTTACAACTTTCCTGTAAATGCTAAACCAGTGTAACTAGTAACTGGCTAGCCAATTCATGCAGTCAGAATTACTGGTTGAAGGTGTGTAGTGTATTTTATGCAACATTAGGTTTACCAGCATTCTTATACACTGTCTCAACCAATTCATAAACAGGCCTACTAAACCCCGGATTATTATGGTGCGGTTGAACTCATCATTCCTTGTTGTTTTCTACTGAGGTCCGTATCTGATTAATGTAGACGGTGTCAGTTCTTTATCACGCAAGCATTTTTAAAGCTGCAGTGACGTGAGAACATTTGTTTAGCTATTTACCTTTTCTTCTGAAATCGGGAAAGTTTTCACAGAGAAGAAAGATATTTAAACTCATATTATCGGGCAATACATGCATTCATGTATTTATTTATTTTATTTTTTTTTGCACAAGAGTGTACTTTAGCCTGTGCATGCAACAGAGTTAGGCATCATTTATCATGTAAATCAAGCCTCAGACTTTCAAATGACTTCATTAAACAGGGAAGTTTGTTGGTGTTGTTGCAACAGAGGTGTTTTTATTTACACCCAGTCTTACCAATTGGTTTGGCTAAAAAATGAAAATGATCGCAGCTAAGCATAAAAACTATCATTGTAGAGCCAAATATAAGTGTGAAAACATAGCCCACATTCCATGTGGCATATCTTTATCCAAGTTTCGGTTTTACATTTTCATTTTAAAACGTGTTAAATATCAGCTATAATAAAATAAATTAATGTTCCTTACACTGTTGTTCACTCTTAACAATAACTAATTATAAACTCTGTTCACAAAGTTTTAAACTGAATTGGTTCATGTTCATATTTCCCCAACTATGTATTTAGAGCTAATTTTTCAGTCCCATAAGGAACTAGTTGCCGTTCATTACTTTATTACTTTATACAATAACCTTAATAAAAAAAAATGTAGGTCACAACGTCATGTTCAAATTAACCTATTATATCACTGTATGGCATTTGTAACTTGCCCTTTGCCAGCTTATTTACATCAGTGTAATTGCGTCTTATCTTTGCTCATATAAACCATATTTAAATATGGGCAAGTTTCCAGTAAAGCTGTTCTTACTTACGCAGCTTCCTAGTTTAATTGTCATAAAAAACTGACTTCTGAAATTTGTCTCTGAACACTGGCCCTTTAAATCTATGTTTTAAATTCTGACCAGCATACGCTGATTCTGTTTTTTTCTCAGCTGTCAAAATTGTCACTGAAATAATTAAAACTGTCTGATAATGCTGATATAGTCAAGAGGCAAGTAGATGCAGCTTCATTTGTCTGCCCGCCTATGTTGTAAATGCTAAACCATACTGGACTAAAGCAGCCTTAGCAAAGTACCAACAGAACCCGGGTGCAGAAATAGTTTGGCCTAATCCAGTTGTTTTGATTGGTAGGGTAAGAGCCTCCAGTTTATATTGTTATATCGTTGCGTTTAAAGACAGAAATACATTATCATTTTCCTCCCACAAAGACTGGCAGCCCTATGTGTCCATACCGACTGAAGCTTCAAGCAGACACACATTTAAACAGAGTGAGCAGTCACCAAACTCTTATCTTTGAGTGTAAATTTTGCACTTGTTTCCTGCATAAAATAGCCAATGTTTGGCCCTCCAAAAATATCAGCTTATTCCATTTTGTACCTGCCAAGTCGAGGTTTGTGTAATGCCACCAGCTGCACTCAATTCCAGATCACCTTGTAAAGAGAAAACACAGAATAGTACATTTTCAAGTTCTACCCAAGTATTGGTCATCTCATTGACAGTGCTTATTTGAACATAGATTCTGTATATATGTTTATCACAAAATAAAGCATATCTAGATCGTTTTTGCAAACAAGACAATAGCAAATCTGTGTTCTTCTTTTTCAGACCGACCTTGGCTGACAGATGTCCAGAAGATCCATAAACTGCAGGAGAAAGTTTATGTGGGTCTGCAACGCTGCCTGCAAAAAGAGGGCACATCAGAGGAGAAGCTAGCAAAGGTACAGAAACTTTCTAGCTATATTGCTCAATGTCTGTATGTGTATGATTTTTTTATTATTATTATTTTTCCTACTAACTTGTATTTTGTTCCTGTACTTCCTTCCTAGATGGTGTCTAAGCTTCCCATGATGAGGTCCATTTGCAACCTCCACATAGATAAGCTGGAGTTTTTCCGTCTGGTTCACCCTGAGACGGCATACGCCTTCCCTCCTTTGTACAGGGAAGTTTTTGGGAGCGAAATCACCTTCCCGGACTCTACCGAGGGCTAGCTTAGCCTCTCAGCTAAAATGGTGTGATTAAACATAGTGACACTGAGGTGTGTTTAGAGGAAGATGAAAATGTGGTGACCGTCATACGGCAGAACCAACCAGCCCAATGACAATCCTGCACGTTACACTTTAGTGCACTCTCCTCTCACCTCTGAAGTCCAAACCCTGTGGAGTAGCTTTCACCGCCTTGCAGGCCAAACCTATTAACTCAACAAAACGGGAGAAGTTGCTGGGTCGCAGGTGCACATTACCTCCTTTGTAAAGAAGTGAAGAAACCATTGAACAGTAGCCTACATTGTTCTTTTTTTTTTTTTTCTTTTTTTTTTTTCACAAAAATATTTTTCTATAAGTCACCTTTAACTGCTGGTTGAGTTTAATTCCTTTCTGGCGTAGTCTTTGTTACCTCCACAGCCCCTGAAAGCGATTGTTGAATGTACTCCCCCTCCCCCTTACCTCAACTATTCACGATATACTAGAATGTACGAACCTATAGTAAAATCCTCACCCTCCATGGGAAATTAGCAGTAATGACGCCTGCTTTGGTTTAGTGCAGAAACAGTTGTTGCTTCTTTGTGTGTCCTCAGTAGCCCCCACACATTGCTGTTTTTGTAACATGAACAAGCTTAAAGGGACCATGATCAAACTCTGAAGCGGGAAGGGTTTTTTTTTTTTTTTTTTTTTTTTTTTTTTTTTTAATTTTTTTTAAACCCCAAAAACACTTTTAACCAAACACAAA